AATACTCGGGCCGTTGTTAAAAATCCATTTAAACCGATAAAATCAATTTTTAAATTTTAAATTGTATATCGTAGTAGAAAATTAGATAATTTAAATTTCTATAATTTTGCCCGACTGAATTTTTTAGTGCTTTTCCCAAGTTTTTTGCAATTTATTGAAAATCCGCCTTTCCACTTAATTGCACAATTTCTACGAATCCAGGTGGGGATCAAAAAAGGGGCAAATTGTGCAAATCATGCACTCTACCACATCAAGCCAATTTTCCCTGTAATTTCCCCTTTACTAGCAAACTACGGTAATTGGGGCAATTTTCCGGGAAATTCTAATTGGCCAGGAAAGGCGATAAAAATGGAACTGGCCGTTTGAACCTCCGATTTGGCGAGGGGAAATCGGCGGCTTTCTTGGAATTTGATTTTAGGTGTGGAGTGGAAATGGGAACTTTTGGAGGGACCGGAAATTTTATGTAGCAAATTTACTAAATTTTAATTAAAGCAATTAAATTGTTAAATAAGCTTAAACAGTTGTTAGCTCAATTTAAAAAGTTAAAATATACAAAAATTGTATTAGATGAAATTTAAATCTGCATAAAAAGAATTAAATTATAATTTTGATTAAGCTAATCAGCAAAGAATAGCTGAATGCTGATTAAACGCAAAACGAAAATTTTTCAGAAGTTTCCTAATCAAAAATCGAAAATTCGATAAAATCCAAAAATTCCAAAATTCAAATTTTTACAATTGAGCTAAAAGCGGCCAAAATTAACGATAGAATTTTAAGTTTTCAAAATTTTACGCAATTAACATAACTTTTAGCAAGGAAAATTAAGCAAATTGAAACAGTTTTAACTCCTAAAACTTAAAAATATTTCAAAAAAGCATACCACAGAAAGCAAGATTTACTATTTTGTTCTTGTACCAAATCATCGCCCTTGTTTTTCAATATATACATCTGATGACGCTTAAGTTGTGGTAACAAATCGCAGAGAAGACCAAGAGGGGAAAGATGACAAATCTGAGAAGCGGGCGGGAGCGGTGGGGGATACTGTAATCCGCCGTGGCGCATCTCTCGGAATTTTGGCTGAAATAATCCCCGGTAGATAAGGTCGAGCTCCGTTTTTGGACACATCACGACGACGAGGCGAATTGGGAAATAGGCCTTTCAAATTCAATTTCTTGGAATAGTGATGATAGTCAAATTTCTGGATGATCCGGGTAGCCGGCCTGAAAAAGTCCTAAATAAGTTTCCATTGGACCGCAAAAAACGTTAAGTTTACTAGAGAACGGCGAAAGTGGTTTGGCTTCCCAAAAAATCCTTGCTAGCTTGCCGCTATTCCGAATATTACGTTGCGCCCAAACAGGGTTCGATCATGTGCGCGGGTAAACCCATGACTAAAAATCGCCTGGAGGTTGTCTAAAAACGTTCCAAGTGGACGTTTATGGGTACCATTGAACGCGGAAGAGTGAGACACATCGAATGATGGAACTTAAAACCTGATCCGAGGCAGTTCCGGAAAAATACATCCGTTTCAATCTCAGGTTGTCCCTCTTCCCGCAAATTTCGACGTGAAAGTTCGGCACATAAATGTCTGCTTTATGGAACTTCGTCATTATGATTTTCGACACTTTAAACCCCCGTAAATGGTCTCTGCTAGCCTGCCTAAGTTTTCACTAGGTTGCAATTCGCTTCCTAAAGAACCTACACTAACTACCTCAGCCAGTAAAGCAATGAGCCTTCGAAATCCCTCTACAATAAAAAGGCCAGGAAGTAAAACTCACTAAAGAGGGTCCATTTTAACGGCTACAGTACCCTAGATGCGTCATTGGGTATCAAGTGGAATTGTTGGTGGGGGGTTTATGGTTCAGAAGATTATTTCTTCCAACAATCCCCACCCAGCCCACCCAAATATCCCGAGATTATCAACGCGAATATGAGGTTGGTGGAGAGAGAGAGAGAGATAGGGAGAGAGAGAGAGAGAGAGAGAGAGAGAGAGAGAGAGAAAGATAAATACCAAGAGATATGTCATCAAATACAGAATTAGTTTTGTTTTAGAACGATTTATCCGGGACCAGTGAGTGGTTGGGAGAGGACCACAATGCCTTTGGTCTCAGGGAAAGTAAATTCTAGATATGACAAATTCTAAGGACTCGAGGGTCTGGAAAATGGTTAGAATCGTTTTTTGCAGATAGATTTGCATTTTTCCTAAATGATCCCTGCTAGTTGCCCTGATTTTGGGGGGGTGTTTTTGCACAGTTTGCGGCCTCGCAAGGCCGTCAGTTTTGGTACGCTTAGCGTCCGCCTACGTTTTTAACTTTTCCGCAAATGGTCGAAGCGAGCGTGCCACGTGGCTTTCAGTATTTCAGTCAATTAAATTCCTAAAATATCATTAAAAATCGATAATTTCTTACCGGGTTCTGTCTTTTCCCAAAGAATCTCCGCTTGTTCGCCTTCAAGATCAACCAAAAAAATCGATTTTTTTGCTCAAATGATCTCGACTAGTGGGCCCAACTCTTGTATTTGGTTCCGTGTGCTGATTTTATGTACAAGTCCTTGTATCTTTTTTCCAAAGAACCGCCAAACGCAACGCAGCAAAAAAAACGACGAGTCAGGCGTGGGCGCCCCCGGTTCCCCAAATTAGCCCAAACTTTTTATCGTAATTTTTTATTGGTCGACCCAAACGAAGTGTGGGTCTCACAGCTCACAATTTCATCTCTTCTAATTGGCTGGTGGGGAATGCACCTGGATAGAGTGGAAAAAACCACGTTACGCTCCGATGATCTTCTCTAGAAAGGAGAAGAGAAGCTGAAATAGGGAATTGTAGCGATATAGATAAATTTGGGGAAGCGAGGTATATTCTAAGAACTAGTCAAAATGGGATAATACTTGGAAAATTCAAGATCGGGTCGGAAAGGGCTAGCGAGCAAAGATTCTTGTGGAATGGACAGCCTGGCAGGGATTCAGCGAGGAAAGGGCCAGCCAGCAGCAATTCTTTGCGGAAAGAGCTAGCCAACAGTGATTATTTACGGCAAGGGCCAGCTAGCAGAGCTTCTTTAAGAAACCTCGCAAGCCTCGAATCTCGATTTTTCCAAGGCCAACTAGCAGTGACCATTTAGGAAATTCAATGCAGCCCTGCGTCAAGCTATCAAACACATTTACGGCTTACACTTTGAATTGATTTCCTCATTTTCCAGGCTCGTTCGGATCTACTACGTGCCACTCCTCTGTACGGTTTTTGGTGCTTATTTGCTGGGAAAAGAGAGCAAGAATTTGGGATGCGGAAGTGATACTCTCAAGAAAATGGCTCATCCCCCGCTACCAGACCCTATTTTCGGAGAAATCTCTCATTTTCGCGTTATCGTGGGTAGAGAGAGAGAGAGAGAGAGAGAGAGAGAGAGAGAGAGAGAGAGAGAAATGTTCAGGAAGGATGAACATTTGTCGGACCGGGAAATCCGTTTCGGGGAAATTGTCGGTAGATATCGGTCTGTTTTCGTCGGGTACAACAGCCTCGATCCGAGGGCTGCTTCAAATCTTCGGGGGACGGTAAGATTATTTTTTTTGTATTTTTTGCTAATTTTCGAAAAGATTTGCTTTTAAAGAACCATTGAAGGCAAAACCAAAGAGCCGGAAAAGCTGATCAGGCTTAACAAGAAACGAAAAATGGCTCCGGAAGGCTAAATTTTGGCACGCTGCCAAAGATCCATAAATTGATATGCAATTTTTTGCTGTTAAAGAGGAGTCGATATGGTAGATCCAATAATTTTTTAGAAATTTCTGCAGGCACGCGATGCGAGGCTTGATCCTCGCGAAAAGCTGTAGAACGCGTTGCGTGTGGCGCGGCGGTTCACGTGACGCCCCGCGTAGCGTTTCGGGTAACGTCGCGCGTTGCGTATCGCGTTACGTTGCGCGTTACGTCGCGCGTAGCGCTGGTGTCGCGGATCGAGTTGCGTATAGCGTTGCGTACCACGCTGCGTCTCGCATAGCGTGTCGCATTACGTAACTTGCATATCCCGTTGCATGGAGCCTTGTGTATCGTGGCTGAGGGTTCAAGCGTGCCTTCTCGGTTCCTTTAAACTCAATTTTTACATCACACTCCGCTCTGACGCCGATGTCATATTGCCCGGAATCAAGTCGAAAAACATTCCCACCAAAATCAGCAGGTACACGATCGAGTATTGTCTAATTCGCCCTCCTTTCTGACGATCTTCCGACTCTCAGGCTTGCGCTACGCAGGATGATTGCCGCGTGAAGTGGCGAACTTTTTGGGCGAATTTCAGCATCAAGCCAAGAAAGTTCGGTTCACGTTTTGCGTACAGAATACCCTTCCCAGCTTGATTAGGGGGCTTTTCGTTGAATTTGGCGCCAGGTTTTGATGCAGAAATGCGTGGGATCGAGTGGGTACACAAAATATTAACAATTCTGAACGTTTAGGCGGGGGAAACGGAAGTGAAAAAGCAAAATTACGAGCGGAAGAAACGCTTCCGGGTACGGGGACTGGTCGAAAATCAGCTACAGAAAGTTCGGAGCGGATTTTTGGGGGAGTTTCTAGTATCCAAGGGACCTGGAAGGCTGTTTTAAGAAGATCCTAATGCGCGAAAATCGACCCCTTCGGATAGCTGGGTATCGACAAGCAGCGGAAGTGCCAAATTACGCGTGATATTCTTACGGTTTTCATTGCCGCCGGGAAATGTCGACACCTAGTCTTTGAGGGGGGAGAATTTAGCATTTTTCGGTCCCATTAAAGCAGACATGGCAATCGGCCGGGCCGCGCGGCTTTTTCGGCCGCAAAAATTAGAATGCGGCCGGGCCGCGCGGCTTGGCCGCACTTCCGGTGCGGCCGCGGCTTTTTTCTTTTTTGAGGCCGCACGGCGGCCAAGCCGCGCGGCTTTTCAAGGCCGCATTCTAATACCGACTTCCGGGGGGAGATGACCCAATCAGATGCAAACCCGAAAATCATATTTATTACCAAGCAAAGCCATAGAATCACAACAACGAAAAAAAGCTCATGCAATCATTTTGCTCATAACAACATGTTCTACGGATTCCGGGGATAGACGGCGCCGCTTATCACCCACAACAGACTTCAGAATCGAGAAAGCGCGCTCACAAATAGCTTCAGAGGGCATAATCGCAAAAATTTTTTGGACGGTTTTGTAGAGCAATGGGGACTTGAGCTTATTGGCGAGCCAAAAAACCTCTAGTTTTTCTTCCGGATCGTATCCAGCGTTGAGGTACTCTTGGATTTGGACGGCGGCGGTGCTTCTGACGGCTACGGGTGCATCGCAGATGGCACTGAAGAACGCGGGTTTTGCTTTCTTCGCTGGTGGCTGAGAAGAGCTTGCGCAATCTGAGCTGCTATCGCCATCTTCCAAGTCTGCCACGTACTCTTCAAGATGTGTGATAGCCTAAAACAGAATGGGGAAAAATCGGCGTAAGTACGATGGATTTTTCGGCTTGATCGAATCGGTTCATGTTGCGGGTGCTGGGATTTAGAAGTGTAGCAATATAATGCACATCCGTGATGCCCTTCTCAAGTTGATAGACGACGCCCGAATGAGCGGCTTTCGAGAGCAGAACGAGAACCTAAAGACGGCGCATAGTCACTGCGTGAGCTATTTCATTATCTTACTTTTTATTATATTTATTATTGCTCTTGAGTTTGAGTTCGGTTGACATTATCGCAATGAAAAATGAATGAAAAACAAATCTGTGCAAGAAACTTTATGCCTTTGCTAAGATGTTAATTTGCGGCCGGGCCGCAGCGGCCCGGCCGAGCCGCAAAGAACCTGCGGCTTGGCCGCAAAGCCGCATTTCCGGAAGTAACTAATTATGGCGGCTCGTAGGAGGCCGCGTTTTTTATGTAAATTAGGCCGCCGGCTCGGCCGCGCGGCCCGGCCGCCTGAAATTGCCATGTCTGCATTAAAGGTACTTGGAAGGCTGAAATTGATAATTTTCAGCCGAGAGAAAGGCTAATCAGCCCTTTCCAGTTCCATTAAGATATCCATTCCTGCAAGAAAAATTTCTATATTTGCGTCTCGTAAGCGATGAACCGATCTCGCTAGCCTTCATCTTCCCTTCAAAAAATCTCATTTAGATAGCGGAACTGGTTTTTATCACTTTCAATTAATCGGGCTTTTTTAGCCTTTAGCTACTAAACATTGCCGATAGCGTTTCATTAAAACTCTACAAACACCCTCCGAATTTTTCGCATGCGAGAAAGTCAAGATAATTTGACTTGCAAGTCCCTTTAAAACTACTTAAGCCATAAAAATCTTGCATTTTTGAGAGTTAATATCTTATCAAAAAGTTAAACTTAAAAAAACACCCACTACAGTGTCCACTATTTGCAGGTGCAGGAATGCCCTTGAAAAAAACAAACAAAAAGTACGTGGCCGGCCAATTTACGCCCTCGCGGCCAAGAGGAAACCCTTTTCACGGGGCGGATTTGTCATTTTTGAGGGGGCTAACTATTGTCGAAAAGAGAGAGAGAGAGAGAGAGAGTGGCCGAGAAAGAATAATCGGATTTGGAAACCCTAGAAACCGCCCAAATTTAAACTTAAATCCATTCACTCCTATTGGATCCTGTTTTCCGCGGAATCCGGCGGGTTACGGTAGTCACCTTTTGCACGCGCCCTCCGACTGGATGGCCGCGAAATCTTACGCGTCGTGTACAAAGAGGATTGTGACGGATTTCCGGAGATCCATTTCCGGGGCACAACTATTTACGGGGGCACGTACCAGGGGCTGATTCTTGAGGGCTCGAGTGGAATTTGGTGTCAGATGGACCCAATAAATACGCAAAAATACGCTAGGGGAAGGGATATTAATTAAACATTTTTTAGAAAATAGAACAAATTTAAAACGTAAAAAACTTTGTGATCTTAAAAATTAAAAGCTATTTAATTTTTAGAGTTGTGAGGAAATTATGGAGAAATAAATTAGCTATGTTTTTTATTTATAGTTCAATAATGCAGTAAAGTAATCCCTAAACTTCCGTAACCCCGTAAAAAACCGATTTTCTAACCTGAGCATGAGATGGGAAGATGGAGCTCGGTGAGGCCAGGGACTTCAGATTTTCCTCCTTCACCACGTCCGTTTCTGCAGCTTCTCCTTTTTCCTCTTTCACGTCAAGGTCTAAAAATATTGAATCAGACTCATCGACTTTACAGGTGCTAACAAGCATCGCTGTCGACAGCCACATTACGTGTCAAATTACGCGCCTTTAGACGACGTTTTGAGTACGCTTGAGTACGTTCGAGCACGTTTGACTACGCGTTTGTCGGAACTAGTGGGCGGCCGGGGTTAATTCTTGCGTTTTAAAATTTGGCGCTAAACCGTACCGGTAACTGAGCAGTCCTTATCTATGAACGGGTTCGAGCGCTTTGCAATCGGCTAAAATCGTCGGAGGATGTATTTTGTAAATTTTGTGCGATGCTTCATAAGCAATTCCATGCCTTCAATGGTCCTTTAAGATGCGAATCTGTTTTCTACAGTAATCTGTTTTCCAAAAAATGTGTTTTTAGGCAATTGCAGTTCGATTGCTAAACGTCTTTAAAAATGCGTCGGTTTTGTATGGCCTTAATAAACTTTTTGCGATTTTTTTGCACGTTACCGTACTTTGGTACCAAAAGCAATATTTGCACAACATTTTCCCCATTATAACCTTTCTGCGATAGGCCATTTTCGAGCTGACAACCTTTCCCTTTTTCTCCCCTCAACACCCCTCGACTCCGGATCTACGCAAATGGGCCGGTTGTAATTCTGGGGTAGGGCCAAATCTCTGTTTTTTTTTTGCCTTAACATTTCCCAACCCACGCGAGCCAAATTTTGGGATTTCTAATCCCGTCAGCCCTGTAATTTTCGGGGAATCGCGATGGGGTGTAGGAGTTTTGGAACTATTTTGGGGGTTTATAGCGCGATTTTGGGCGTTTATAGCGCATTTTTGGATTTTTCTAACGTTTTTCGAACCGGTGTTTTTGAAGGATTTTGAAATTGATCTATCCAAATTAAGCAAATTGAAGTTCGTTTTGACGACAGTGCGCTCGGAATTTCCAAAAAATTTAGTATTACAAAAATTCCTCTATTTTTTTAGATTAGAGCCTTCAGCAGCCCTTCAAAAGGCGAAAAAATGACAAATAGAAAAACTTCGCGGGTCATAAAGTCCTCTATGACGCTTACAAAAAAATGTCTTCTCCCAAAAGTCATCTCGACCTATCCAGAAAAAGGCAAAATTTTGTAGTTTTCAGCGTTCAATTGCACTGTAAAGTTCTTAAAAAATGACAATTACCGGAAAAAGTACCGAACTGGGCTCAAAATTCAGATCCTTGCAAAAAGTTCCATAGAACAATTTTTCCGACTTTTCCAATTTACAGCCTGCTACCGGTTGCTCAATTTCCCGAATCAAATGTACGGACTGAGGGCCAAGTACAAACCCGTCTTTATGGCCCAATTTTCGCGGTGGGACCAACCCAGGAAAATTCAATTCTCTACGCAAATCACCCCTCATAATTCCTTAGGTTTTCAGCGAATTTTCCTAGAACTTTCACACCGTCATTTGGCGTATCTACGCGTAGCTTTTCGAAAAGCGGAAGTCACTAAAAGAACTTTACCACGCTGCTGAGCCAGAAAAAATTTAGTAGAAGCCAAGTTTGTACTTTTAAAGCCCAGTGATGTCCGATTTGGAAGCCGTAATTGGATAAACCGGGGAATAGCAGCGACATTTGATTTATTGCTCGCCCGAGGTAATGGGATCAGCTACGCAATAATTTGAGTTCGCAGCGTGCTTGGGTTTTTGGTTTACCCTAAAATAACCACGGGATCTCGCGTCTCAGAAAATCAGGGACCATCCGCGAAAACTGGGCTAAAAAAGCTAATTTAGAATTTTACGAAATTAACGGGAAAGCTACAAGCAACAACACTTTAGGTGTAAGGTGTATTCGAGTGGGCGATTAAAAATTTGGGAGCACGAGAGCTAAAAACCGGCCTTTTTAAAGGGAACATGACAGCAAAGGTTCCCGGAAGATTACCATCTATTTTTATAATTTGAAAAATCGATAAAAAGTTGTTTTCCGGAAATTACCATATTTTTACAATTTTAGGCGAAAGCAGCTAAGCGGAAAATAAGCAAAAATCCAATCGTTTACGCTAGGTAAAGGAAGAGAAAAATAAAAAGTAGCAAAAATTCTTATAAAATTCACAGCCGTTTGCCTTTCCAATCCCTTTAAATGCACTATTTACCGTGTTTATTCTCTTTCTCCTTCTGCGCCAGCATCTCGGCCAGCTCGTCGACGGTCGCTTTACGCAGCGTTGCGGACAGCTTCATCATTCTGGAAAAATCATAAAAACTGTTTCGAATTTGAGAAAAGCGATTTTGAAGGAAAATTGAAACCTCGAGAGATCACCTTTCCAGCTTTTGCTCAAATCAAAATTCAGGCCCTGGGTGCGACCAGCCAGAGACGGGCGAAATTAGATTTGCAAGTACCGTATCTTTCTTGCTCTTTTTGCTGGGCTTTTTTGCCTTTGTTTCTCTCCATTCTCTCTCTTTTCCCCCTCCTAGTTGCACCTGTCGACGACGCGGCGTACACCTGGCCCACACATCGCCGCAGGAAGGCCAAGGAGGTCGAAAAACTGGTCTGGCAAAAAACTGCAAAATTGCGGGATCGGGAATTTAATCTTTTTCTAGTTTATCGGATTCGTTAAATTGTGACAATAGGGTGTTCTACCGTAATTGGCACGGGGAAATAAAAACGGCAGGAATTGGAAATATACGTTTTTCCCCTGTGAAAAACAATTAAGAAATGTAGAAATTTATCTATTTCAAGTGGTGAGGAAAATCTTATTATATACAAAATTAAATATAGACAAAACCACAACTATCGTGTTTCGGCATGATCTACCGTACTCCGCCGTAGTCCTACAGTAACCCCAGAAAAGACATGATTAACGCAATCAACTACTTATCCTACTTTCTAACATCCCGGATTTACGAATCTCATATTTTTGAGATTCTTTAACGTTCAAAACAACGTCAACCACTGTAATCCAAGCACCCTAACGTAACCCAAAAGTTTCCGAATTGTTTGCTTAATTTTAGCTCCTCGGTTTTTCAAAGCAACGTCCAATTTTCTGACACTAAAACACACCCTAGGTTACTACCTAGGTTTTTCAGTAATTTTTCAGCTGCTGTCTTCTGTCTTATAACATGCCGTTCAGAGTCCAAATTCCGGGGGCGGCAGCAGCTGGGCCAAGATCATAGGATTGTACCGTAGTCCCCCGGCTAGTGAAACACCGCGCCAAAGATCCGCTTGGTCCAAAATAATCAGGTTTTTTGGGGTCCTGCCACGACAGAGTGAGAGTGAGAGTGAGAGTGAGAGAGAGAGTGAGTGAGAGAGCGAGAGCTGAAAAGAAAAAAGCATTGCCTAATCCAATTGTCTCTAGAGATTATATTAATCCCCGTGTTCCACCCACTCCAAATTCCGCCTCATTCCGCCCGTTTTGATCACCCAATTTTCGTGGATAGACGCGTGGGGTAGTCGAAGGAATGAAGAAATGAATTGGATTTGAGTTGGTGGTCACGAGACGATTCGGAACGCTGAGACACCACTTTTTGAGCGCGTTTTAATGAAAAGTACATATCATGATTTCGGAGAGCTCGGATCAGAAATGTGTACATATCTTTGAATGAAACTCCAGAGGGACTAGCAAAGATTCGTTAGGAAAACGAGGCAAGCGAGCAGAGATCCTTTGAGAAGTGGGATGGTGCATCGAGACTGAGAGCGAGAGAGAGAGATGCATAGGGAAAGAGAGAAAGAGAGAAAAAGAAGAGAGGGCGAGGCAGAGAGACAGAAATGCATAGCGAAAGAGAGAAAGAGAGAAAGAGAGAAAGAGAGAGAGAGAGAGAGAGAGAGAGAGAGTGAGAGAGAGAAGAGAGGGCGAGGGAGAGAGACAGAAATGCATAGAGAGGGAGAGCGTGAGATGGATGGAAATGCATAGAGGAGAGAGAAAGAGAGGGGAGAGCGAAAGCGATGATAAAAATGCGAAAAAGACAAACTAAAAAGAACTACGAAGGAACTAAGATCTCGCAACCCTGCAAACTTGCCCTTTCCGCGGCTAAGCCATCAGACCAAGATTCAATTTTTTTTCCCAAATTCTACAGTAACCTTTCTCTCTCTCTCACTCTCTCTCTCTCTCTCTCTCTCTCTCTCGCTCTCCCACGCACTCCCTTGTTATTTTTCACCCATTTTCCAGGAATGGCAAAATGATAATGTGTGCGTAAATCGGGGGTACCGGGAAATGTCATTTCTGGGGGGATGGGGGCCATAATTCGAAGTAGATTACAGGGTTGTCAAAGGCTAGGTGTGTAGGAGAGAAGGGTACGGAATACAGCTAATTACACCAGCATTTCAGGATTTGAGATTTTTATGCGGAGAGGAAGGTACAGGGTAAAAACTAGCGTGAAACAGGTTTTCAGGGGGCTTTAGATAAAATTTAAGGATGATGTTGTTTCGCAAATGATCTCTGTCAGTCAGCTACTTGTCCGGGCAAACCAGCAGAGTTTCTTTAGGAGCGCCAGCGTTTCGCAAATGGTCTTTCTGCTAAGCCTAGGCAATCGAGCAGAGGTTTTTTAGGATTTCCACCAATGGCCACTGACTGAGATCTGGATTTTGGCCCCAATGATCGTTGCTGGGATGCGCAGACAACTAGCAGAGACCATTTGAGGTTCGCCGGCTCGTCAAATGAGCAGAAATCATTTCGAATTCGTAAAATAATTCCTCAATTGCTCTCTGCTAGCTCGCCCTTTTGTTTCCATTCCGACCCAATTCATCTAAGTCTCCATTCACCAAAAACCCAATTAATATTTCACACCCCTTCCATTCAGCATTATTCCAAAACTATTTCCAGCTGAAAATAACTGGCGGCCACTAGCAAAATTTGCACCTGTTCGACTAGTCGAGTAAATAGTGTGGGCGAGGGAATGGATCCGAAAATTAGAGACAGAGAGAGCGAGAGACAGAGAGAGAGAGAGAGAGGGAGAGAGAGAGAGAGAGAGGGGGCAGAGAGGGGAGATAGGGAGAGGTAGATAGGGAGAGGGAGGTAGATAGATAGAGAGAGGGGAGGGGAGAGAGAGAGAGGGGGGGGGGGGGGGGTAGGGGAGTAGATAGGGAGAGAGAAAGAGGTATAGTAGAGAGAGAGAGAGAGAGAGAGAGAGAGAGAGAGAGAGAGAGAGAGAGAGAGATAGAGAGATGCCTGATTTTTGGGTCCACGAGTGGCCCAGAAAAAAAACAGACCCACTATAATTTGTAACGGAAAGTTCAGATGATTCCATCGGAAATGAAATATTGGAGGTGAGTAGGAGGGGTGTAATTAAATAAAAAAGCGGATTCTCTCGGGTAAAAATAAATTTTTGGTAATTTATTAGGTTACGGTAAGGCCAGGCATCAAAAATTTAAATGAAGGAAAACCGAGTAATAATGTATCGTAATGGGTTAAAAACCAGAAAAAAACGCTCTAAAGCTTAATTGGAAAGTCGCCAGAATTTCGAAAAAACAAGGTTGCTTAATCATTTAAGTTTTTTGGAATTTAAACTTTGAATTTTGGCCGAATTCATCAAAAATTAATTGGAGTTTCGAACACGTAATTTGGATGAATCCAAAATCAAGCCTTTCTAAAACCGACAATTCGAAAATTCCTAAAAATATCGTAGTAAGCTTGTAGAAGTCATAAAATATTCTCGAAATTTGATAGCCGTTCCGAAACAATAATAAAATTACAAATTCCGAAATTCTACGCTTTAAAAATTCCACACCGCGAATTCCACGACAAAATGAAAGCGCGGCCAAAAATAGTCAGATCTGGGGCGGCGATTCCTCTGTGATTTTCTTGAATTTTGATGGGCTGACAGACTAGCGTACATGGGGACTAGGGGAATCATCAAAAAGACGGGCAAAAAATGGGCGGCGAACCGTTTGAGGGGTCGACCCCCGGAAATTTGCATATGGTGCGTGGGAAGATGTATGGAAAAGGGTTTGAAATAGCCGCTGAAAAATTTAGAATTTTCTTTTTTGATCCATAGTATCCAGGCACAAGGCGCTACTTTTATTGTATGGCGTAAGTTGGGAAAATCTTTTATGAAGAATTAAGCTGACTTTTGAGTGCCACATTGTCCGCGAAAAATCTCGCCTTTTTTGGCGCTACAGTACTTTACGTGAATTCTTGATGCTTAAATTGACTAACACTTTTCTCGGGTGCGAATCAATGACAATCTTGAAATTGCATAGCGAAAATGCTCCCTAGAAACGGGTCCGTGCACTACAGTACCTTCTATAAATTCTCAAAAAAAGGCACGAAACGCTGCTCATGTCCCCCATTAAATGAACCCACGCCGGGTTTTTGGGCATAAATTCAAGCGCGGTGTTATTTTGCAAGTTGATAGAAATTCGAATTAATGGTAGTGTGCCGTCTGATTTGAGAGCAAGAATAATATAGCCCAAAAAGACAGTATCCTCGATGTTTAGCCTATCGACTGTTCGTTTGGCTGAATGCTGAATGCCCTGGGGGGGAAGATGCTAAGAAGAGGAAGAAGAAAAGAAAAGAAGAAGGGCTAACCTTTCGATTCTGGACGGGACACTCATTGGCCCCGAAAACTGTTGGAAAGGAGAGGGGAGGACAATGCGGAAAGATGATGGACATACAAGAAGAACAAGGAGAAAAGGTCGGAGAGAGAGAGAGAGCGAGAGAGGGAGAGAGGGAGAGAGAGAGAGAGAGAGAGAGAGAGAGAGAGAGAGAGAGAGAGAAGAGAGAGGCTGTTTTTTCGGGGGAAGGCCAGGGGTGGGGTGGGTTGAGGTGGGTGATGACTTATCCCCCCAAAGGGAAGGGCCAACATCGGGTACTGTAGCTGCACCTCGGAAATGTTCTTTTCGGGGGGTGATTTGAATGTGTTCCGGCGTTCGGCGGACGGAGAATCGGGGGATTTAAGGGACCGGGAAGTCAAATTACTCAAAATCCTGGAAAGGTTGTTTTCGTGCGTTTTCCCGAGGGTATCGGCTGATTTTAGCTGAAAATACCATTGGAATCCGCCGACCTGTCCCATTCAAGGCACTGTGAAGCTAGAGAAATCCATGGATTATACGATGGTTTTTCAAATTTTAACGCCGATCATTAGATTTCGCGCCCAAAAAAGTTACCGGAGGAAAACTACCTGCCATTAAAAATGAAAATTAAATTTTTAAATGTCAATTTAAATGTGTTGAAAATGTTTAGTGCTTTCCCCAAGAATCTCAGCTAGTTGGCGTGTTTTGAATTTCAAGATTCCGCGATTCACCACGT